TACAGTGAAAGCCCCACAAAACCTGACTTAGATACTTGGATGCAAGCGGGAATTAAGGACTCCCATATGAAGGAGGGACTTCATGAACCTTGGATTTGGGTAGGGAAAAAGAAATATGCAGTTGTTCCTCTGCTCTCCTTTGAAAGAGGGAAGAGACAAGAAAGTGTTAAGAAGAAGGGAGCACTGGCCATCACAACAGTGCATCACTTGAACTTGCTGAACTAACAGAGATGGGAGAGTGATTTTTCCCTCACAGAAAGATGAGGATCAGGAAGGGAAAGTCTTCTGCAGAAACCAGCACTCCAGTAGTATTTCAAAACCATGAACTGATAAGAAAAGGTGAAGAAGGAGGAAAAAAACAGAGAATCTTGCTCTGAAAGTTCTCACTTCTCTATTAAAGAGCCCATTTGCTCCTGTTTCTGACTAATAACAAACAAAAAGTACATTCATTACAGAGACTACCGCAACTGAAAGCCAAATATGGTCTTAATTAAAACTCAAAAATAATAAGAGAGTCATTAACAATCTAGCAGCGTAAGAACGCTGAAGCTGGGCAAATGACCATAATGCAGACCTAAAAAAAAATTTTAAAAAAATCTCACTGTTAAATGCTTAGTATTTATCTGCCACTGGCACAATCCCACCCTGCTGCAGCTTCTTCAGTCTTTCAAAGTTTGCATGTGACACATTTCAATTAGATATCTACTTCTCAGAAGCCACTTAATTACATTAGAAGAAATGTGCAGGTATATAAAATATATGGCGTATTATAAGACTGGAAGATATTAAATAGTTTCTGCTTCTGAAAGATATACTCATTTTATTTTTTTTAAAACCTTCCTAATAAATCAGTTTGCCAATACATTCCTTTGGGAATTCAGTGGCAGCAACATGAAATGCAAGATCAGCAAATTACTAAAATACTGATGTAGTAACTCAGAGCTGAGCAACTAATGAGCTGTAAAGTTCACTTCTAAAAGCAGGACACTCATACATTAAACACGTCCACAGTGTTTTCGCTGTTCATTATAAATATTAATTTAGAGTTGGAAGGTGAACTATGCAAAATAAAATTCAACTCTGATAGATTCTGATAACATTGCTTTTAAGGATCAAGTTTCTTTGGAATAATTTACAGTAGCTAAGGACACAACTTTGCCAAGTTTGGTATTAAAATGCATTTTAGCATCACGGTGAATCCCAAATTGGGTCAATGACAGATGAGCAGCAGCAGACAGATTATTTTCAATTTACCAAACACACTGAACTCCTACTCATGTTGCAAAATTAATCCAAAATTACCATAAATTAAGGCTACTTTAAATAAAGGTAAAAATATGGGAAGCTAGCTATCATTCACATATGCAACATTGATAATGAAATTCCCTCAAAGAAAACAAACAGCAAATCTTTACTACAGCGCACGATATTATGTGTTTCACCCATCACAACATGCTCTTCCCCTCTGATAAAAAAGGGACACAGCAGTTTGCAGAAATGCTGATGATTAGAAGAAACCAACTGCTTCTCAGCTAGGTTTCTTCTGCCTACAAACCTGCCATTTCCTTGTGGTGCCCTAGGTCTCAAAGCAGGAGTGGACACAACACAACAGCCTGTACTATGTAAAATAGAGAAGACAACATCAGTGCTGTAAGCGTTTCCAAAACAGGTACTTAAGTGACAGTACCTATCTAAAAGCAGTACACGACAAGATCAAACGCTTATCTCACTTCTGAACTTTAAAGTGCTTTGTACTTAGCAAAGATACACATCCTTGAACATCACTGATAATTTACTGAAGGTTGTTGTGAAGTGGAGGCTCAATGAAGGCTGGAAGAAGATATTACTAAAGCTATATAGATATATTGTTTCAGAAAGTAATATGACTAAACATTTCTTCAAGTATATTAGAAGCCAAAACACATTACTATGCTTCTCCAAAGAGTATCATATTTTAGGGAAAGTTACATTGATAAACTTGTAAGACTTGATATTTGCCCTGATTTAAAAAAAATCAATTAAAAAAATGTTGAGAAGGGAACAGATAACTTAATAAAACATATTATAATGCATTTCCTATATGGAAATTAGAAATTTATTCATCTGCATAGTTAAACCAATAATTCTGTTAATGTACTAGATGTGAATCTCTATGTTTACCTAAGACACAGACATATGGCACCACAGAAGTGTAAACAAGAAACAAACTGGCACATTAAACTAGAGAACGTACTGACCTTGCAACCACGACTGCAAACAGAGGCAAGAAGCTAAAAAAAATTAGCAAAAGAAAATTGCCTATATAAGATACCTATAAAAGTGAGTAGTGTAGAGAACGGAAAATATATATTAAAATCCACAGGAAAAATATTAATCATGAACTATTAATTACAATGAAAACAACTGCAGCTGGGAAGACTCCAAGATGAAGAAAACTACATACCTTTGCGCTAGGCTGGGATTTTTTTTCAGTTGTATGCTCTTGGACACTGGAGTTTATTTTGACCTAGTAATTCCACTCCTACATTCTCACGGTTCTTCAAAAGAAACAAAGAAAAAAAAAACCCACTCCCTCCTGTAACACCAAAAAAAGCCTGAATTTGTACTGTGAATCACAAATGCTTGATTCAAAAAAGTGACATCAATAGGCTGCAGCACATGGGACATTTTAATGGTGGCTTTAAGAACATCAACTTCTATCTTGTATGTAGTAATGAGATTCAGGAGGAATCTGATCTCCCTCTGACATAACTGTAAAAGCCAAATTCAATTGTTCCTCAATGTATTGTCAGGATCAATAACAAACTCTGAAAAAGGCTACTCAAACATTTTTTCTTAAATGGGGAAGATCGGTCTGCAAAGGGATCCAGGTGGCCCTTTCCTATTTCAACTGGATGACTGCCTAGCTGTTCAAGAGTTAGATGCAATTAGGATATTACTGTTGACAAACTGTAACTCTAACATCCTAGAACTGGGAATTCATTCAAATCAAAAATATGATACTGATGTTCGTTCACAAGTAATATTTTTAAAAGCATTTGTGGAAAGAGAACATTTCTATTTTCCATTCAAACCTCATTTTTACCTTTAAAAATTTTCTGACAATCAGAAAAGAGGACCTAATTTTCTTTCTCTTTTCTCTCTCTCTTTTTTTCCTTTTTTTTTTTTTCCCCTAATAAACTTTTCCATAGATATTTGGTGTGTAGTAGTTTCAATTTCTGGTTTTCATACTGTTTTGGAATGGGAATGATCGTAAGTCCCAAATTCTCCACAAAAGACATACCAACATATTTTACTCTTTAAAACTCAAGGCCATTCCATGCTCAATTAGTTTTCAGCTTAAAGAATACATCAATGAAGACCAAGAAAGTGTTTGCACACTGTTGCACCTCTCTTTCTTGAACACATTAATGTTTTTTAATATATTGCTCATGAATAGAAGGCCCAGGCCTCTTTACTTGAGCTAACTCTCAAATCAGGATCACTTCCAATGCTTGAATGATGCATTTCTTCTAATATACAAGGGAATAAGTAGAAAGGAAGCAAATGTTAATAATTAAAAGTTAGATGTGGAAACAAAGAACTGTAATTCTACAAACGCTCACTCCAATAAACTAAAGCTCTGTCAGGCACAGCTCCTCATAACTAGAATGCCCAGAGTCTCTGAGGTGGTCAGAAAGATCAATTTCCCATTTTGCAGAAACCTAGAAGCCACTATTACAAAAGGGTATCTGTGGAACAATGGTCTTTTAAATGAGGAGCTGTCAGGATAACATGATCTGACTGCAAGTATCTTGCAATGAACAAAACAGCAACCTCCAGGGAACCACGCCAGTCAGCAGTAAAGAGGATTAATAGCTAGAGGCAACACACGGAATCACAGTTTCACCGCAATGTCCATCCTGTATCTAGCAGCCTTGGAGCTTTAAAATGCTGAAGGGCTTGCCAATCTTACTAGAAGCATACGGCTGAGAGGAATCATAGAATAGTTTGGGTTGGAAGGGACCTTTAAAGCTCATCTAGTCCAATCTCCCCTCCAGTTGAGCAGGGACACCTTTAGCTAGATCAGGTTGCTCAGAGCCCCATCCAACCTGACCCTGAAAGTTTCCAGGGATGGGGCTTTTACCACCTCGCTGTACAACCTGTGCCAGTGTTTTACCACTCCTACTGTAAAAAATTTCTTCATTATATCTGGTCTAAATCTTCCACCTTTTAGTTTAAAACAGTTACCCCTTGTCCTATTGCAACAGGCCCTGCTAAAAAGTTTGTCCCCATCTTTCTTATGAGTCCCCTTTAAGTACTGAAAGGCTGCAACAACGTCTCCCTGGATCCTTCTCTTCTCCAGGCTGAACAACCCCAACTCTCAGCCTTTTTCATAGGGGAGGTGCTCCAGTCCCCTGATCATTTTCGTGGCCCTCCTCTGGACCTGCTCCAACAGGTCCATGTCTTTCCTTTCCTGAGGGCTCCAGAGTTGGATGCAGTACTCCAGGTGGGGTCTCACCAGAGCAGAGTGTCAGAATCACCTCCCTTGACCTGCTGGCCATGCTTCTTTTGACGCAGCCCAGGACATGGTTGCTTTCCATATCCCTGGCACATTACTTGCTCATGTCCAACTTTTCATCCACCAGTATACACCATTGACCACTATCCTCTGGATGCGACCATCCAACCAATCTCTCATCCACCAGTCCACCCACCAAACCCATATCTCTCCAATTTAGAGAGAAGGATGTTGTGGGGGACCATGTCAAAGTCCTTACAGAAGTCCAGATAGATGACATCCATAGCTTTTCCCTTGTCCCCTGCTATAGTCACTCCATCATAGAATGCCACAAGGTTGATCAGGCAGGACTTGCCCTTGGTGAAGCCATGCCGGCTGTCTCAAATTACCTCCCTTTTTGAGTAAAGATCTTTCAAAAAAAAAAAAAAAAACCACAACCCAAACTTATTTTCAAGTCTCTACCTCCACACTTTTCTGCAAAAGTTTTACCAAAACTTACCTCTGGGTATTTCAGTTTTAAAGTCTTATGCATTTCTCGAAAACGACTGTACCGCCTGAATACTGTCCATGTCTCATCCAGGACTGTTATCTATATCGGACAACATAAAAAAGAAACAGAAGTAAAACCACACAACGCACAACACTAAAAATCATGCAGTATACAAGGTTATCAGATTAAAATGGGCAATTCTTAGTTCCCTTAAATCCATAAGCTTTTATAAGTTTACTTATTTTTTTCTTTCATTACAGTGACAGAACTGTATTTAATAAGGAGCACTGTTTGCAAAGCAAAAAAACTGAACGCATTTATTCCTTATTCTGGAGTGGTTTGACAAGGCTGTAAACACATTAAAATATCCCAAATCATTCCTTGGTGCAGCTATGGTGCAGCTCTCAGCATTATAATCAGTGAGTGTTCCATTAATGAACGAAAAATATCCAGCACAAGCATAGTGTAGCCTCTCTATACATTCACAGAAATGTATATTCACAAATACGCATACACAAACATACACAGATATACACAATTAATAAATACACATTTCTTGGACACACGGTTCATTACCACATATATGCCGGCTTTCAGTAGAAGTTATTCTTTTAAAACACTCTTGGTCTGTCTCATCAATATGTTGATGAACATCCTATTTATATGGGAAGTCTTATTAAAATCAACAGAATTACTTGTGTGAAAAAAGCGCACAGCAACAGGAGCAAAGGGGAAGGGTGAGCCAACCTTACCATCAGCTGTTCACAAAATCCTCACTGGAACAGAGAAACTAACAAAAAATTCATGGAAAGAAAATTTCTCGCTGTCTAAAATTAGGTGAAATGAAAGGAATTTGTAAGTGGGTCATAAAAGTGGTGTGACTGGACCCTTTGATTTTACAACAAAGTCTTTCTGTAGCTCTGGTGATCCAAGGCTACCAAGAAGCAATGCGGCAGGGAGAGGTGGGCATTTTTCTACACCGACTATTAGAGCTGGAGAAAGCCAACTGGCATTGCCTAAACCTGAAAAGACTGTTACTTTTTTAATCTAACACGCCTAATATGTGATATTATCTCCGCCTAGCTATGATTTTATGCAAAGATCAAGAACAAGCTTTTTCACAGACCGCATTTCACGAAGACACGGGCTTTTTAATCTTAAAGTGACTCCTAGAATTAACAAGTAGTTCCCTCGCTACTGAGGGTATCAGAAAGTTATAGAGTTTAAAGGAAGTTGCAACAGAGCAGGATAACAGAGTAGGAGAAGAAGAAATCGGGGCAGTAATGCCAGAAGAAACCAGCATCCAAGTACCGTTGTTGACAACTGCTACCCCATGCTTGCAACAAACCCATCTCTGGTCCACCCTTTCCCATGCCTGCTGCTGTACACAGAACAAGGGAACTGGAGGAAGTGTTTTGGAAAACAAAATTTAATGTGTATCTTATGACATCAGGAAACAGTTTTGTTTTTTTTTTCCCTTTTTTTAACTAAAAGATGTAAGTAAACAAAACTAGCTTTCTCAAAACTTTGCACAAACATTAAAAACATAGTCTCTTCTAGCACATCTCCACAATGCAAATTCATTATTTCTGATAAAATTCATCTTTCATGACACCAATAAGCCTGACTGCTACCAGGATGCCTGCGTGATGGACTATACTCCCTCAATACATTATTAACAGTGTCTCAAACATTATAAATCAGGTGAATGGATTTAACACACACAGGCAGGTTTAACTAAAACCATTTAACTATTCAGGAATATGCATGTTACGCTGATCTCAATTAACCAATTAACCATTTTGTTCTGAATAATTACTTTAAAGTAAAGGGCTTTGTGATTTCAATGTTCAGGTAAACATTAGAGC